AATTGTTTGGCATGGTCCACGCTGTGCGTGAGGGGGCGTATTAGAATCCCACATTGTTTGGGAAAATATAAATGATCCACTTAATAAGGTGAGGGCAATCCTCCCCTAATAAGCCGGTTTTATTAGGTGAAGTTAGGCCCAATATTCCTAATACTTATAAATTTCAATTATTCATATAGTTGTTATAATCAACTTCTAGGTTCGAAAAGGCAAAATGTAAGAAAAAGAAACACTGATTTGGTGCTTTCTTAGGCCATTTACATCACTGTCTCAGTGATTTTTTTCCCGGTCTTCATCAGCTCCAAGCTGGAAATTTTTGGATGTGGAGAAAGAGTACCGGGGGGTGAGGTTTTGGGAATTGGGAAGGTTGGTCAGGCGACAAATACTAGGAGAGGGCCAACTTTTGTTTGTTTTTTTTTTTCTCCTTTTTTTACTTCCGTGCCATATTCAGCTGGCAGTATTTCGTTTTACAATGTGACTTCTTTGTGGCTACAGTTTCGATTTCTTTAAAGGACTTGTGAGAAGAAAACTGGTGGTCTGAAGATTTATTCGCTGCTTCTGCTGGATAAAACGATAGGGCTATCAACTTTACCTTGTGAATTTGTGAGGATACTTTCTTCTTGTCATTTCCCGGTTTTGCTTTTCTATGCTGTTAGATTTTCTTCAGCAAAAGATATCTTCTCCAAGATGTAGTTAAGTTTTTTAGTTATGGAATCCTAAGATTTCTTTGGATAATGTAGCCAGATTGCTGTTCAATAATATCACATTATAATCTAATGATTGAGATTGTACAATTTGAGTGTAATAACATGTTTATTTTCTAGAATAATCAAAGCCCATTATGACCCAAGTGGTGTTATGCAATGGTAGCAAGAGTTGTCATTGTGTTTCTAGTAGGACTTGTGTAGCCTTGTCACTTCGTGTGATTGAACATTCACGTGTTACAAGAACATTGGGTAGAACTCATTCTTAAGACAGACTAGTAAAAAAGGGGTACCCAAGTGTTTATAAACCCACAAGTCAAAACCTTAATTTGTATTTGTAGAACTACATTATAGTCGCTGCAATCTACCCCACTTTCTGGAATGAATATATTTTTAGGTGGATAGAAGTAGCCCTTTTCATATCGTCGAGTCCGACATGTCCATTAGGGTCTTCAGGTAAAACTTATTCTTACAATCAACTTGCAGACTTGTTTTACATTCATGAACTCAAAGTCTTGACATGGCAATGTAGATGCTTTTAAATCGCGTGCAGATCTCTTCCATAAAGAGTCAATGACAGTTTGGTGTTAGTGTATTTTGTTAAGTTTTTGGGACCGACCACCCTAGTGCAGTTTTTTGTTTTGCTAGGGTGGATGAGTTTATGATTGCTGTTATTGCAGTCATGAATTTTAGATCATTTGGATGTGCAAGAAAATATTGGGATTTGTCCAATCTTTGTCTGAACATATAAATATTTATTTATTAGAGTTGTAGTTCTGTTTGGTCATTATTAAAATTATAATTCATTTTTCTCTATCTTCTTATCAATCATATATTTTTCAATCAAACGTAATTCTAAAACTTTTTCTTCTTGTTAAATGACACATTTTATAGCAGTGATAAAGGAAAACTCCTTTACAACTATTTAATGAACTTTGGACTGTTTCGGTAGTACTTTTGTGTCATTTCTTGAATTGAATGGTTTATAATTATTATTATTTTTTAATTGAATGGTTTACGCGACTCTCTCGTTGCCAACCATATAAGACAGATTTTGCTCCTCTCAACTTCTAAGTAAAGACATGTTTTCTTTAAAGTTAGATGATCATTTATCAGAGAATAAGACAGTTTTTATCATTAAGGATTCGATGTACAATTATAATTAAAGGTTAAAGATCAGCTTGTTCATTTTTAAAGATTGATCAAGCAATTTCCCATTTTTTATACGAGAAGATGAGGTCGAATTTCAAAAGAAATTTCAATTAGGCAAATTAAAATAGAATATTCTTTTCTTAATGCTTTAAACAATATGAAACATTAATAGCTATAAAATTAGAGGGAGACCTTGACCTCAATAAATGGAGTTGGTTGTGCAGGTAAATGAATTTTTCTAATAAAGTTCAAAATATCGCAACCTTGTTAAAATCGAGGTTTAATTAATCTTTACGCGCATTAATTAACGATATAAATGTACGAAGGGATAGACTCGCGACACTAGCACGACCAATTATACCCCATCCTTTATCATATTAAAGGGAAAATGACTTTATCTTGATCTTCGGATTGTCCAGGAATTACAGTCTGAAGTTGTTGGAATATTCTCCAGCCATTCTCTCCAGTTAACTAGACGTTCCTAGCAAACCAGTTTAACAGCAGCCCCTTCTAGCTTCTTCTAGTTCCTTCTTATGTTTGTTATCTTGTTAGTTTGTTAGATAATTTGTTAGCTATTTTCTCTATAAATACAATAGATTGCATTGTAATTTCCTTGAATGAATGAGTATTCACCATCTTCCCTGGCCTTAATTGCAGGCCTATCCATTTTCTTTCTCTGTTAATTTTCGTTCCTTTAATTTTAGCTACAATTTCATAACTTTCCTTCATTTTAAGATTTCGATTAAGTTTGGATATGTGAGATGCGAAAGACAAATCAATAAATGTTCAATCCATTAGCCGAAAATGCAAAAACAAATAATAGAAAATTTATTTGTTAACACGAATTCTACTTTTATTCAAGAATAATGTTATTTATCATTATAATGATAGAATATCGATGATGTGACAGTTTATGTGGAATAATAAGATTGAACGGTTCAATTTTCATGAGAGATATATTTGAAAAATAATGGGTTACCACGTCAATGATGTTCGTCATTGTGATGATAACCATGTTCTCCATTGAAAGATTTTTGGAGGTTACCTTAAATAAAATAAATGAAGTTTGGTAAATACACAAAATCATCGCGCCAACTGTCAATTCATATCATTCTCCCTACATACATTTCCGTGAACTGTCCTAACTTCTCTCCGCGTTTCACCTTTGATCTTTATCATTTTATCCCTAATTTTACTTGTAAGATATTCACTTCATTTCTTGGCATACTTTTTCTTGTCAATAAAAAAATTTCATATGGCTGATTTTGTGAATAAACAAGAAATTTGATCTGAAAAAATCATTATAATTATGGTTTTATTATTTCTATGCATTCATTCTGCTGTGATGGCCCATATTTAAAGACGAAGATTTTGTCAAGTTTTGATTTTTTTCTTTTTATGTGACACTATTTTAACATGTCAATGGAGTCAGCACCACCACAAACGCCGCCGTCTGATTCAATGATTTGTGGGATTTTGTACAAGTGGGTCAACTATGGCAAAGGGTGGAGGGCGCGGTGGTTTGTGTTGCAGGATGGGGTCCTCAGTTTCTTCAAAATTCATGGGCCAAATAAAATTGTCGTCAATCAAGAGACTGAGAAGGGATCAAGAGTAATTGGAGAAGAATCCATGAAGCTGATGTTACGTAACCACAAGAATGGCAGTAAGCATTCATCTTCCAAAACCTGGAATGCCGTTGGTGAAATCCATTTAAAGGTTTCGTTTTTCAATTGAATTTTGAGTTTTTTTCTGTACATTGCTAATTATGTGTTAGAAGGGACTAATTTGATCATTTGAACTGGACTTCTGTGGGTTATTAATCTGCTTCTTTTCTTTTTTTTTTCAATAATTATGCCCATGCTGAAGATTTAAGAAAAGGATTTGGACATTTATTTTGATCTAACTTTTTTCATGTTTTGGGTGAAACAGTTTTAATCTATCAACTTGACTAAAAAAATCGACTCGTTTCATTTCGAAAATCAAATTAATGAATTCCATTACCAATTGATTTGATCAATATGTAATGAAATATGGTTGTCCGATCCTTATGGACTAATGGAAAAGTACAACTTGTAAATCCGGCATGGGGCGTGGAAGGTTTTGATCCTTTTGTTCTGGAAGGAATAGCTTCTCATCCGGATCATACTGCTTTTTCATTTATTAATTTTGGCAACTTTCTTGAAATTTAAATCAGATTGAAGATCAGTCCAATTTAAAATAGATATGATGCTTCAATTTTATGTATTTTTTTGTGCAATTAGAAGTTTATTTAATAAAGTTGTATCATCTTCATGTTTATGACTTTTGTTGCTTCTCTAGGTCTCATCTATTCGAGAAAGCCAATCGGATGGTAAGAGGTTTTCCATTTATACAGGAACGAAGAGATTGCATCTGAAGGCAGAATGCAGAGAGGACAGAATGGCATGGATAGAAGCATTGCAGGCTGTGAAGGACAAGTTCCCAAGAATTTCCAACAGCGAGTTAATGGCTCCAGTGGACAATTTGGCTGTCTCGACTGAAAAGTTGAGGCAACGATTGTTAGAAGAAGGGTTGAGTGAGGTTGCTATTCAAGACAGTGAGCAGATCATGAAGGATGAGTTTACGTCTATGCAGAATCAATTGTTGCTGTTGAAGCAGAAGCAATGTCTCCTCATGGACAAGGTGCGACAGTTAGAGGTACATGTTGTGATTCGTAGATTAACTCTTGGATCCCTAAATTCTTCTTCAGTTTCTTCTCTAAATAATTCTGCGCGCCAAAGTACTATCAGCCTTCCCTAGATTTGTAGCTTGGTATCTGGCGGTCTGTGAGCTACTTCTCTTGTTCTTTGTACTGAGGTTGTAAACCTTTTAGTATTGCCCCATTCTTTTATATAGATAGCTTTGTTTGGGATTGGTTCTTGAAGATTTTTGTACTCTGTTCGACAGATGTTTTCCCCCTTCTTTCTTGTTCTATTGATCTAGATCTTAGTGTTAGTTAGATTTACAACTGTGAGCCTCATTTAAGAAATTTATTGGACGATAGCATCTGTATTTGGATTAAAGGAGTCCGCAACTGGTCGAATTCTGTGTCTGATGTTTGGTTTCATTTTCTTTGCGTGCTTTTCTTTATTGACATGCTTTTTAATGATGTCCAGTGGTGCATTCTTTGGGAACGAACAGTGCAATCGAGTAACAGGGACTGTAAGTTAGAATGCCAGGTGAAATTTCCTTAAATCCATATGATAACACTTTTAACATGCTGCATTTTGCACCCACCAAACGAAAGAAAAATGGAATTTTTTGGTTTTCTGTTTCATCCTTGAGGAAATTCTAGGGTCTAGGATAGGATTATGAAGGTGTTCGAATTTTTTTCATTTGAGACTAATTTCTAATGAGCATTTAGCACGGATAGGTCGCGTTTTGAATCTTTAATGACTGATCTTGTGGGTACAATCGCCGTGCTTGGTTAGTATTTTCCGGTATATTTTATATTTTTACTTATTATTTATTTATTGACTTGATTAAATTAAAATAATTTTTAAATGTCAAAACGTGTGCCAAAAAATGTGTTCAACTGATTCAATCTAAACAAGATAAGTCAGTCAAGACTCATTGGATACAATATGTACCTACATTATAGCAGCATATACAGGAACATGTACTTACCATCTTGGATAAGTTTGATTGATCAAATATTTAAAAAAAATTGAAAGATTGTTTTAACACAATCAAAACTTTTCTAAATATAATTATTGACCATATCAAACATATTTTATACATATACAGAAATATATATTTACCTTTTGGACTGGTTTGATTGGTCCAATAATTAAAATGAGGAAAGATTGTTTAACAAATTAAAATTTTCCTTAATTTAATTAATGACTATATCGAACATATTTTATATTATTCTTAATGTACAAAACTTCCACATTTTAGGTAAGACACGTTTGTGTTTTGGAGGGGTCTTTACATAAGTAAAGAAAATTATTAGGAGATGCATAGAGGTTTTGAGAAAAATTTGTCTATGTCGATGGACCGACAACATCAAGTTCTGAAGTATTCTAACCTTCTCTAGTGAGTTCAGCATCAAGTTTTGAAGTCGTCTCACCTTCTCCAGTGAGTTCTAACCGGTTGATGTTCCAGTGAAGTATCTCGAAACAAAAATCGTATTCTTCAACTATAACTGAAAATAACACACTTGTGTGTGAATGATATAATCATATTAAAAAATCAGACTATTTGACAAGAGTTAAGATTGATGAATCTTAATTCAAGTGGTGGTTACGGCCGAATACAATTGTGAATTGGCGATAAAGTTAAGATTGGAAGGTTTGATTCTACTTTTCCATTAAGTCAAAAGAAGAAAGAAAGCGAAAGAGCTGTTTTTCACTTGCTTTTGATTGTTTTTGTTAATTTTGCGAAATTAGAAAATCGAAACTATTGTATTTTTTATTCTTTGATAATGGATTATTTTACATGTGGCATGGGTCCGTGAATGTTTCATTTAGGGGTTTACCACGTTGTATTTGATGTTCATCTTTATTTAATTTCATAATAGATTATATATTGTTTGTAGAACACAAATCTATTTGTTGTCTCAATTAGAACTGCGTGTAAAACTGCTTTGTAGGAAGTTCTGACTGACGTATTTTGGTTAAAACGAATAATTGAGACAAATTATTTAATTAACTAGATTTTAGTACTAACATCCAGGATTCTTATTTTGTTTGCACCTTCGAATAGGCAGTTAAAGTTGATCCTTTAGCAATATGCCGTTGAAATGACATTCAATGATCGCTCAAACTCACTCTTGCATCGTGAAACACAAGAAATGTTGCCTTCGTTGTCAAACTATGAATTTTCCTTCTGGCATGGGTTTTTCTTGCAGTTCAATTAACCTGATCTGCCTTTTACTGCCGATTGCACGTGCGGGTTGCTTGTCCCTGGCTTCGGCACCTGTTACATTTTTTTTTTGGAAAGTGACTAATATATGCTAGACAATGTCTATGCTATCAATCTGAAGTGTAAGCATCAAATTAAATGTCTATTTTATTAAAATTTGGCTATATTTAGCATAGGTGTATTATGTATTGTGCAAGGAAGAAAGGAATAGTCTTCTGTGTAGCCCAATTAGAGATTGTTTGAGAATGATTAAAATTCAATTAAAATTAAAAATATATTCGTTATTGGGTCCCACTCGTCTAATAAAAGTCAACTCTAACGACTATATTTTCAATTTTAATCTGATTTTAATCCCTCACAAACAAGCTCTTAATGTGTGTATCAATTTTATATTTTTTATTCTTAGTTATTCAATTTAGGGTTAATCCATTTGTACATAATGGTTTGTAAATAATGGATTACCCCCTCTCACATAATGCGCGGGACCCATGTGTATTTAAAAATTTCGATAATGTGGTCCACATTCTCATTGTGAGTAGTAGGTAAAAGATTCGATAAAAAAATTCAGTGCATGTAGATGATCCTTCAATTTAAATGCCTCTAAACTAGATTGACACCTAATTAACTATTAGAGCATCTTCAATAAACTCTGTAAAGATTAGATTCTCTTTATTTTAAAGAGTCAACATTTAAAATCATACTCTAAAAAATAATGATACTTGCAGTCGCTCACTGCAGCAGTCTCCCTATGTGGTACACACATGTCAAGTGTGTATTTGATACATTAAATGTGGTCAAAATCTACCGCATTAATGCATCAAATAACTACATGCATGTGTGTGCCACATAGAGCAACTGCTGCAATGAGCGACTGCAAGTAGCATTACTCTACTCTAAAAGACTCTTTAAATTAACATTTTAATTTAGAGAGTGAGTTTGACTCTCCAATTGGAGAGCTCTATAATTAAATGCATTCAAAGTATTTCAATTTTTAATATAGGAAAACAATAAAATAATTTAAAGAAAAACTAGTTAAAATAAAAGATAAAGAAAAATAATAAATATTTTTTGGGAGTGGTAAAATTAAGTGTTAAATATAAAGAGATTGTTGGAGTACTTCAAAATTTTAACTCTATAAATTTATAGATGTTGTCCAAGTGATAGAATATGATCTTTAAAAATAGAGAGTATCTTGGAGATACTCTTTAGATAATTAGTTTTGACTGTATGGTAATGAGATTTTTTACCCTCTCTAATTGAATTAGAATTAGTTTTGAGTTTAAAATTCTAATTCTTATATTAAATGGCAATTGGAATAAAACGTTCGTATTGTTTGCGTGTTCTAAACAAATCGTCTTTATTATTTCAATTTTGACATTTGAACCTTCAGATCGTTCAAACCTTGCGCAAATCATCATTGTCGTCTAATTTTGTCATGTTCTTTTATTAAATAGACGCGTGCTTCTCATAATTAAATATTTCTCTATTTCTTATTTTTTGTGTCTCTAGTTTATTATTCTTTCCCTCTCTTATTCCACCCCTATTTGTTTACTATTCTTTAAAAACATTATTTTTTCCAAAACTTATTTTCAATCACACATTTTCACAATAAAAATATTTTGCAAATAAATCCAAATTTTTTTTCCTAATTTTAAACCATGCATTCTTCAAAAATCACTAGTCCAAAACACGGACTACATACAACGCTACATCAAAATTTGAGGTAAGTTTTGCACAATTTTACACCAAACTAAAAATAATCTCCAATCCATTACACCATAGCTTACACAAAATGAATAGCATTTAATCATTTTTTTCATTTTTTTATTCTTAACAATTTTTTTAACTGAATTTTTTATTTATTTATTTTACAACTACATAAATTACTAAATATATAATTACATTAAACTAGCGAAAATATTAAATTCATTAAAAATTTTAAAAGTTATAGAACAATTAATAGAAACACCACAAATTGAAAAAAAAATTATTAAATCATATCATTAAATTTTAGTGCAAGGTGTTTTGAATTCCGATATCATTGTATTACGAAGTCGAAATAGTGTTGCAATTTAATTCTCGAAATTCATATATTCATCCCACACAATCAATTAATGTATTTCGAAGTGCAATGTGAACTTATCTATCCTTGATTTCATGTTAACTTTAAATAATCGCGTTCTCCCAAATTTTTTGAGTATTCTTATTTTAATTAATCATTTAACTATTATTGATTATATTATTAAAATTTATTACAAATGATGATGATGATAATAATAATAATAATAATAATAATAATAATAATAATAATAATTTATTGTATTAAAAAATGTATACAAAATAATAAAAATAATAATAATAATAATAATAATAATAATAATAATAATAATAATAATAATAATAATAATAATAATAATAATTTATTGTATTAAAAAATGTATAACAAAAATGGACTCAAATACCCTTAACCAATTCTTTTACAAAGTGAAAGTGAATGGCAAAATTGTACTTAACCATTTTGACGCAAAATGGTGCACTTTGCGTCAATGATGCAAAGTTTAGTGCGCATTGGAGTGACTAACTTTTGCACCAAAATTTGGTGCAAAATGGTGTTTTGGTACGCACATTGAAGACGATCTCACTTTCTCCCAAAAAAAAAAAACTATTTTTAATGGGCATCAAACAGAGATTCAATATATATTAAAGATAATTTCAAGTATAAACCGAATTTATTAGAGATGAAATTTGAACTTGATAGTTTATCCATTTAAACATTATTGTCACGTAGTATGTTGTCTAAATTGTAATTCACAAAATATGTTGAAGATGTTCTTGGAAGCTACTTCTGTTACGTCAAGTAGGGCGGGGTGGGTGAGGTTGTTTGGTTGGGGTCCCATGGGGGTGATGAAGTTTTTTTTAAGTATTTTTGTATAAAAAATTTCATTTTTTTTCCCTTTTTGTGACCTATTGACAAATTTAAAAATATAGTTTGAGACTTCAGCTGCAATCCCTTATTCTTTTAGTTTTGTTGCTTACTTTTATTTTTATTTATTTAAAGAGAAAAGGTAATTATGGACAAATCCTATTTTCAAAAGGTTGAAGATGAGTGGTGCTAAATGAATTAATTGGGCGCATCTCATCCATTATTTGAAAATTTGGGATGAAATGTGCAATTTTCACTTCTAGAAAAATAATGAAGGGAAAATTAGATTGGGTACCCTAAAAAAATAACAAATTAGATAAGTACCCCTAAAACTAATTATATGAAAACCCTCCAAATTCCAAAAACTCCAGAGAGTCTGACCTTCATCACCAGGCACTCGCACTGCCGTCTTCAATTGCTCCTCCACCTGCCTCGCCAACCACCTCCTAAACAATCCATCACCGTCATCCCACATCTATACACAGTCGCAACCTCAAAATTTTCAACAAAAAGTAAGTTCATATCACCAAATGACGTCACCATATGCACACACTCTTCTTACATCAATTGCAGCACAAGAGGAAGAAGCAGGTAAAACTTGTGGTCAAGCCGCTACCCTCCACGGCGTCGTCGGTGGATGTGGTGATAAAAGTGGCGCGGTAGAGGAAGCGGACGGTGGGATAAGGGTAAATGTATAGTATTGAATTGGTCTTGGAGTTTGGACTTGACCCACCGGGATTTCGCCTGTAGGTCGAACCCATTGTTGATGGGTGTAATGATGTCGAAAAAGAGAGTAAAGAAGAGGCTCGAATCGGAGCAGGGAATGAAAAAAATACCCCAATGAGAGTGAGAACCTCCCAGAACTGAGAATCTCGGTCGACACTTTGCGTTTTCCTTACAAGAACAAGCAGGGACACTGGTCTGCCATTCGAATTTCTCGAATTGTATCGGAAACATTAAAATTAGGGATGTTTCGGAAAATCCTCCACCCTGAAATCATCTGCCCCAACCATGGAGGAGCAGAAGGTGGTGGTGGACTTGGTGGAGGACTGGGAAGTGGAGCGGCGGTAGACTGGGAGGAAGAGTTGGGGTTGGACTTGGTGGAGGAGCAGGAGGTGGTGGTAGACTTGGTGGGAGCAAGGATGGACTTTTAGGCGGTGGTGCAAGTGGTGTAATGTTAGTTAACCAATTGAGGGGATTTTCGATTGATGATGGAATAACATTGGATCATCTGCCAATTGCTTCAATTGATAACCACGTGAAATTGTTCCTTTTCATTGTATAGTTCAGATTAGGATTTGTGGTCTGATTTTGGTGGTTCTTGGTGGACAATATCTCAATTCTTGCATAATTGTTTAGAAGATAAGTTTGTGTGATTTATCTTCTTTTGGAACTGAAAGTTGTGAGTTATGATTGTTTGTAAGATTTTGTGAGAAGAAAAGTTGTGAATGAATGGTTTGTCACTTTTTCGAATGTTTGCAGTTTTTTTAACTTTTGTTACTTTTCTAAACGTTTGTCACTTTTTTTTTAATTCATGTCACTTTTTTAACGTTTGTCACTTTTTCTATCACCTTTTTTTATTGTTTGTTAATTTTTAAAAAATTTCTGTCACTTTTTTAGTGACAAATATCACTTTGTAATAAAAGTGACATTGTATTTCACTTCACTTTTTAATGAAAGTGATATTATATATCATTTTTTTAATTAAAAATTGATATTAAAAGTGACATTAAACTTAACTTTTTATTAAAAAGTGATACAATTCACTCAAAAAAGTAATCGGGGTTTCGTCACCATATTTAGGCTCCGTTTGGGAGCCATTCTTCTTCAAATAATACATTTTATCTTTCACATCAAGTGGGGTCCATGGAGAATGTGTGGTTGAAAAAGAAGGGAAAGTTATTGATGTGATGGAAAATATTATTTTATTGAAGAATGTGTGGTTAAAAATGAGTAGAAGAATGAGAATGAAAATTTTAATGGTTACCAAACGGAGGCTTAGTGTTTGTTACTTTTTAAAAATTTTTATCACTTTTTTGAATAACAACACATAGGTTTTGATTGATGTTTTGTCACTTTTTTAAGTATTTGTCATTTTTTTAAGTTTGTATCATTTTTTTAGTGCGTCACCTTTTTTGAATTTTGTCACTTTTTTTGGATTTGTGTCATTTTTTTTACAATTTTTATAAAAAAAGTTACATTGTATTACTTTTTCATTTTACACGATATTTTTTACTTTTTAAAAACCTTTTATATAATTTTACAAAACACACGGTTATTTTTGTAAGAACGCCAATAATGAACTGTTATCAGAAAATATTTTGGGTGTAAACGCTAAAGCCCGCAATTTCTAGGCTTTATCTGAGCATTTCAACTTTCCGCTTGCACGTCGGTCTGGGCTCTATTCTGTTGGTAAAATTCTCTTCCCTTTTACAATTTGTGTTTGTATATCTGTTATTTTTTTTCGTTTCTTTCTATAATTCCCTGTTTCGCAGTTTCTTTTACAGGTTTTAAGATTTCCTATTCAAATTTGATCAACTATGCAGCTGACTCTAGAGTTCGGGTAATTTTTTTTCCTGTCTTCTAGTTTTGATTTAAATAATTTTCTGCACAGTATATAGTAGTATCTAAGTAATGAAAAATTATTGATTAATTACTGTTTTGAAAGAATTTTGTGGTTGCAAAAAAGAAAGTGAAAAATCTATCTTAGTAAATACCGATTTGAGGAAACTCAAAAAAGGAGTACTGGAATCAGACTAATTGCTACTCATTTGGAAGTTTTTTCAATTCTCAAGTAGTTATATATTATGCAGATGAACTGTTCTGTGAAAAAAAAAACTCTGGGTCTTAGCCTTGTGTAGGGAAATTATGGAGGGAAAAAATCTAGTGAATTAGCTTTTAATCACCTGTGACAAGGGTTCTTAACATTTTTTACAGCCCAAGTGCAATCACATGGGAATCCAATTTTTTAATCCTTAGTTTCTTTTCATTTTATTCATGAAATCTCAAAAAAAATGGAACTTCAAGACATTTTTTTTATTATGGGTTGAGGGAGTGAATAATTTTAATTGTAAATTATTATTGGAAGAAATATTTTACCATCTATTATAGGCGGGACTTTCATTGTTTGGGAAGAAAGTATTATTTTGTTGATTATTTACTATCCTCAGTGGACCTCTTGATGCCACAGAGTGGCAAAAGCCATGAAATCATTGTTCATTGCAGATCTATAGGAATTAGAATCTGAGAATATTCCAATGAGCATAGGTGGATAGTAATAACACGTCTAACAGGAATAAAATCAACCAGCTAAATCCAAATGTTTAATTTAAAATCTTCCTCTGAAATTCAAGTGGTTTTTGGTGAAGGTTTTCCTCACCAGTGGCTAGAAAATATGATATGTATTACCACTTTAAGATTGAACTCCCTTTGCATCAGTCAACTCTTAAAAAATGTCCCTAAGCTTCTTAGATAAGTGATTGTTTATGAATTTTCCCATCAAAATTATATACAGGTCATATGTTTATACTTGATTCCGCCACTGTAAAAATAAGACTATTACTTGCATAATCTGGTCAAAATTTAAAAGGACCGACTTTCCTTGGTATTAGCCCTTGATAAGAACTCATGGGAAACCTTTCGTATGTGAATATACCAATATATGATCAACCTTGGAAAATTGTGTTCGAAACACCAGCATTGATCTACAGCTTCAACAGTAGCCTGTACTTCACTGAGTATTCTCTATGTTTAAGTGTATGACATCTAGCCAGTTATGTTTGAGAAGTCATAGACTGAACCTTATTACTTATTAGTATATGTTAAAGTTTAGTCTTTGTAAAGATTAGCAACGGCGGTTGTACGTTGAATTGTCTTAGAAAACATTAATGCTGTTTCTATTGTAACTGTACTGATCTTCTAGAAGAAAATAGGGTTACTGATAATTTCAATATTGTGGAATTTTGGAAATCTAACTGGCAGCCCTTTGATAATGGTCGTAGTTTGTTGAAATGAACAACTGTAAATAAAGTTTCATGTCTCCATCTTCCTCCCTTTCTGATCAGTGGTATGATATTGTGCTTCTCACCATCATATGAATTACAATTTTATTAACATTAACAGTGAGATTAGTTTTATGTTGTCGTTACATTCGTTCGTGAGTTTTTCAAATATTGATAATAACAATGACACTCAGTGAAAGACCTCTGAAAAATTCTTATAAATGTTAACCATTTCAGTTGCCATAGTTCTCATTTGTTAACTCTTTCAAACATTTGTTAAGCAACTGAACAATGGTCTTCTAGAAAACAGATTTGTATTAACAAAATCAAAAGCCTTTCTGTTTCACTTCTGAACTTTCTTGTTGCACAATCTGATTATATTTGAAAGGTTCAAAGTGCAGATTATTTTGCCATAACGATTGTGTTAACTATTCACCCACGTCTACACGATCTCTCTTGGATACTGGAACCCTAAAATGCGTGTCTTCCGTTAAGAATTCAACTCTTATCGATCTAATTATTCTGCTTGATGGTTATGTATTTTCCCTACCTAGCGAATTTTCGTTAAGTTCTTTAATTTGATTGATTGATTTCCCACCTACTTGGATTTTTGTTTGTTGCTTCCCAATTTTCTGATTTTTACTTTTTAAAATTACAATTTAGTGGAGGACTGGAGCTTCTTTGTAATTCTGTAAAGATCCATAAGGTCAATGTCGACCCACAAACTGAGGAAGAGAAGGTTGATCTCTTTTAATTTATTTCGTTTCAAGTGAAGACTTGATAGTTTTAGTTCTCACTTTCACGTTTAACTGAACCGGTGTGAATATTTTGTTTTTATTTTACCAGCTAACGATGAAACACTTGCTCCCTTGGATTCACACCAATTTAATCAAGGAGAGGCCTGAAATGTTTATGAAAGGTGATTCCGTGTAAGTGGATCAATTTGCATTTGTTCCTTTGAAGATGCCCGAGATATGAGCACGGAAGTTCTACAATCCAATGATTCATTTTTTGAGCTAAAAGCCCTTCTATGCAATTCATTTTGACACTATTTTCCAATGTTATTCAAGCCTACTCCTGCATCTTCCATTCGTGCACCTATAACTTCCTTATCTTTTTGCTTTCTACTGCATGCATCTTGGTTGGTCCCACCATGTCTCTCTAACAAATTAATATCAAGTTGTAGCATGCAAGAATTTGGCGTAGCTAGCATGTAATTTTTTTTTTCCTGAATTGATTTGAACATTTGACTAGAGTAATCATAATAATGTATGCAGTTTGATAATGAAATCCACGATAACCTATTAACATATTAAAATTTTGATGAACACCGAACTCCATTTCAAATTTTTTCAATGTAATCTTGTTATTTTATATTTTTTGCACCCACTTGAAAGAATTTTAAAACTTGTATTTGATCATGGAACAGGTGGTTTCATAATCATAGTTGTTTGCATTAAAATGCCCTGCTCCCTTCTCCTCTGCACCAGTCCCCAGTCCATTGTGTTTATGTCTTCAAATGTTATTTTTTCATTTTTTTTATCCATGAAAAAGATGGGAAATTATGAAACCCGAAGCCTGACCTCCGGCAAATGAAAAAAAAAAAAATGAAGGGACCAGGGCATTTTAATGCAAACAACTATGATTATGAAACCACCTGTTCCATGATCAAATACAAGTTTTAAAATTCTTTCAAGTGGGTGCAAAAAAAAAAAAAAACAAGAAAAAAGAGACAAAATACCTTCATTAGATAAAGGTACGTTATCCCTTCCAAGACCAATCTAAAAGGAGCAAACATGGGGAACACTCCAACTACAGACTACAGTGGGAGAAAACCCGGGATTGATGGGTTTGGGATTGTTCAAACAATATACCGTAAATATCATCACAAGGGGAACACTCTCCCACTAGAGTGGGAGGAAACTGGCGTTTTTATGGGTTTGCTGCAGTGTGCCTATCAAAAGTAATATATCAATCTAAATTGGTAGCTTATCCGAATTGATTTTATTAGCATCAAAATTTTTATTGCAAGTGTTTGCTCATTTCAAAGTGAATAGAAGTGATGACATTTCCTCAAATCTTTTGTTTTGCATGCAGGAGGCCAGGAGTTCTAGTCCTTGTAAATGATTGCGACTGGGAACTAAGCGGACAGCTTGACACAGTGCTGGAAGAGAAGGACGTCATCGTATTCATTTCAACATTGCACGGTGGATAGTTTCTGTATGTTCTCTATGATTTCAATGATGATAAAATGTTCAAGAATAGGGATGGTGTTGGTTGCATCATTATTTATTGTCAGGAACCAAACATGCTAGGATATTGTTGATGCTTGTTTTATTATTATTTTTAGATTGAGGAATTACTGGGGAAGTTTTGTGGTTTTATCGCCTGTTTGAGCCTCATTTTTTTTTGCAAAAAATGTATTTTCGAATACTGATTTGATGGAGAATGTATGATTAAAAAATGAGAAGTTTTGGATTTATATGTAATATAATTTTATTGAAGAATGTGTGGTTAAAAATAAGAGATATAAAAATGTATTTTGAAAATAATGATGACCAAACAAAGCCTTACTATTCTTTCATAATTTTAGATTTTTCTCTTTATCAATTTTTCTTCTAGCACCGTGATTTTGATTGCACTATATTAATATCCACTTAGAGATTGTTCACAAGACAGTTATAAAATAGACTTTTGAGTTTTCTCAATTTTTCTGCAATTGTAGTTTTTTTTTGTGTGTGAATCAACGAGTCTTACTTACCTTGTTGCCTAGTTTTTTTGGCGTTATTAGGGATCCACAAAAAATTTGACATTTGTTTATTCAAGCTCGTTTATGTGTTCATCATTTTCATACATGCTACATTGCATGACTTTGCTTGTGGTTTACTGATTTGGTATGTTGAATTGAATAAGATCGAACATATCAATTGCAAGACATATCTCATCTTTAATTCAATGCAATCCAGTTTAAAATACCAAATGATAGCATTGGGGGACAATTTCTATGTAAACATCTTCGTTTAAGATTGTTTCATGATAATGTTGTCCTAGATTGTCATTGCCTAATTTGATTCGAGTTTACTAGACATCCTTTGAATGATGATCACAATCTCATACCTTAAGAAGTGAAAAGGAAAGTTGATAATGAAATGGATGTAGCCATTGGACCTGTTTTTGTTTATGATTTGCTAGAACTGGAAGAGTAAATCTAAGTGTACAATATTGGTTGATAACAATTGTTGACAATCATGTGTTGTCAAAATCATAGCATGTGATGTAAAAAGTAATTTTTTTAAATGACTGGATATGATGATGACAAATATGATGTTGTCAATCAATATTGTACACGTAGCATGATTCGAACTGGAATTACGTGACAGATTTTGTAGCTCAATGAAATCTTTGTTCATGTCATAGTCTTTGGTTGCAATGAGAATTGCTACAAGTAATGTCTATGTCAATACAACGCAGCAAACCTTAATATGGCAAGCTGGACAACCTGACCAATTGATTTGACCGAAATTTTGAAACTGGTTTGATTATGTACAAATTGTATATTTAAAAAGAGGAAAAATCTTGTTGGAGCAGAAATTGGACGGCTACGAGTTGACCTGTCGTCCTTTTTTTTATATTATTATTAAGAAGTCCAAGCTAAATACTTTCCTTCTCGTTTATATTGACTTGAGTGTCAAAAAAGCGTATAATCCCAACCTCCTATGTCTTTGCTTGGAGAAGTCTCAATTTGTGCTTCTAATGTGTGTTCAAGCGTGCAAGTAAAATTACGTGCAGGATAAAAGTGTGGAGATCTATTTGCACATATAGTTCCTACCAAATTTGAAGGTCAACAAATAATTTTATATTATGTGATGAGTTATTGATATAAGTTTTATTCTTGTGATGAAAATTTATTTTAAATATTTGATGAGATATAAACAGGAGTATACAAAATTTAACTTTGAATCACATAAACAAAAATAAATTTATAAATAGAATTAAATATGCATTTCTTGTATTTACCACAAAAGTATAAAAAACCGACAATATATATAAATTTATTTTGCACTCTGTATGGAGAAATAGATTTTCTCTAAAGATTTGAGAAGGGCAAAAACATAAAAGGAAATGTTGAGAGTGGGATTTGAACCCACGCCCTTTCGGACCAGAACCTTAATCTGGCGCCTTAGACCAACTCGGCCATCTCAACTTTTGTTAGAGATTGTATTAATAATAAATAATATTGTTATTCTAGTCAACACATCATACTAGGGAGTTTTAGGAGAATAAATTTTTTTTTTCTTTTATTCCAGACTGATACATATAATTTTTCTTTTTACCTATAAAATTTAAATGTGCTTGGGGCAACACTGGGCTAAAACCCCTGGACTGCCTCTTCTCTCCGCCCCCGGAAATGACGCAACATGGATTTGAATTTGAATACAAAAGAAGATGTTGTATATATAGTAGAAGATCTATCATTGAGTAGGAGAACAACAAAAAAGGAGGAAAAGTCAATAATGCATGCGTGTCTTCGATTGTTCTGTATATATATATTTCAGCTAGTTTTCTTCTTTCTTTCCTTTCATTTTGACTTGAATTTTTTATCATAGTTAATAGACAGGAGAACGGATATATGGGATTGACAACTAATAAAGCTCCACGATGTCTATGTGCGTGTATATATGACGGGCGAGCAATGCATAAGATCTATCATTAAGGAGGAGAACAACAAAAAAGGAGGAAAAGTCAATAATGCGTGCGTGTCTTCGATAGGAGAACAACAACTCAAGATAATCCCGTAAGCAAAAGGAGGAACATGTCCAAACTATCTTATTCAGCCGTCATTCAAGTCCGTGAGAAGAATAGCTTGGCCAACTCAATGATAGCACCCAACACCAACTTAAGTTAATACACAATCATCTTCTTAAATACTATTTTTATTTTTCAAATATATCCACACGATGTCATCATAACCTTTCTATCGCTTCAAATTTAAATCGAGTAGTGAAAAAAAATTAATAACTTGCATAAACAATCACTAACGTATCAAAAATAATTATCGACTTTTTTTTAGGAGATAGGAATAATCAAATATTATAAAGTCAAGAGTACAAATTTTCACGTAGTATCATAACATGTCAACCATATTTACGAACTTCGATGAGATTTGCTATCGATAATGAGAATTTAACATACACTTGACTCTCGAGAGACATATTGAATACAATTTAAATAATTAAAATTATCCCACCCATTATACTTTAAACTTTTAGACGAGATAATTTAGCACGGTATGTATAGTCATGTTTATCTAGTTCTATTATTAAAATCGTTCTTTGTCCTCCAAATCATGTCCTACCATTCATCTTTTTTTTTTTGATACCCAGGTTTCCCAACTTACACCAAACTATATTTTGGACCACCCAGAACCGGTGCCTCAACTCTGGGCGGAGGTAAGTCGCAGGTTATGTCCAATCAAGCCAGTGTTTATCTTTCTTTTTTATTNGCAATTGGAACAAATTCTATATCCAATGGTAGAAAAAATTATCACTTTAATGGACAATTTTCATAAAAAAGAAGTCAAACAGACACCAAACTTTCAACATTTTCCATGAAAAATTATACAAATCAAACACAATTAATTAAAATTCCCAGGAAAACATTTTTTAGAAAAAATTTTTCCTTGTAAAACATTTTCTTTCCACCCATTTTCTACCCTTGCAATCAAACGGACCCTTAGAAAAAAAGAAAAGCATCGAGAATTAAAGGATCAAACCAATAATTAATAAAAACAGTTTTTTTTTTTTTTTTATCACAAATGATTGGTTTTCCATGTTATGCCCTTTGCACTGTCTAGGCAATTCCGTCACGTCCCGATGAAACCGAGAGAGAAGGAAATTTCTGTTTGTATGTAAATTTATGCCCAATCCAAGGGTATATTCGTCAGGAAAACAAGAAAATCTGCAAGAAAAAGATGTTATACCTTGGGTTGTATTTTTCTAGGGTGTGTTTGGTAATGAGTACCAATCAGAATTAGACGGTATAATAGATAACAATCTAACTTTCCATGTTTATAATTTCTATCCAATATTCGTTTAGCTCACTAAGTGCACTGATTAGAAACATTACTCAAACAACAAAAATTCTATGTCGACTAAGCTTACGTCATATATTCTCATTTTAGACGTCCAATTATTTAATAACACTCAATAGATATTTAGACGGATGATAAACATCATTGCGTTGAATAGAATTTTTCTTTAAACACAACTTCTTTTGATTTTCTCTTTAATTTATAAGCATCATATATTTATTTGATTGTCCAATTATTTAAGAACACTTAATAGATATTTAGACTGATGCTAAGTACCAATTGTGTTGAATAACATTATTCTTTTAATGTGGACACCAATTTATTATTTACTATCAATTTTACACATCAAACATGTCATCATTATTATTATTATCTTTTGTTGACGTAGGAATTCGCAGCCGTTACCACCAGCGAAGCCCCGACCACCCGGAAGGGGCGAAGGCCAACCACTGTGAGTGCACACTAGATAAATCCCGCTCCATGTGCAGTAGCCCGCAAATCATATAGGAGAGGTAAACCGCACTATGCAAGTTTGGTGCGACGATTCGATCGAAGAAGTGTTGGCAAGGGATTCGAACCCTTGACCTTTGGTCTCCACATTCACCTGCTCCACTAATTCGGCCACCCCCGAATGGATTCAAACATGTCATTATTGTGTGTATATGTATGTTGATCAGCAACGTTCCTCAAACTATTCAAATCCAACATGCTTATAGAAGAAAACATGGAACAACCCTTTCTCGATTTTCAAATTAGGTTTCCATCTTGACTACATGTAATTTTAACAACGTTCCTCCAAGGCCAGCTTATAGTCAATACAAAATTGAGTATAAATTAAAGAAGATTTATGTAAATTCAATTTCAACTCATTACCTACACATATAATTAAATACTATTAAAGAAGATATACAGATATAGTTAAATACATACAATTAAAGAAGATAGACAAGCAACAATAATATATCAAGTTTCAAGTTATATCTATTAAGATATTTATACATGTAATTTGACACCCTTATTAATAGATAGGCCACGTGGTAAGACTGTGATGATTAGATTAAATGCACGAGATGTGAAAGATGGTGTAAAATTATATCAAATGTAAATTCGATTGTACATGTAGCAAGATTGTATGTAAAATTATTGTATGTGTATATAATTATGCTATCGATACGTTTCTTAATGATATTTTTGCTTATATTGTGTGTTATCAAAATCTGTGCCGTTAATTATTTTAAATATTGTTAAATTAAGGATAAAAATGTTGATCACCTCACACATTAAACTGTCAATCAGATTGTAGTCGTAGTAATACTGGAGTTTATACACGCAACTGCGCAAAAGTGAATTAAACTAGTTGTACACCGAATACAATAGTTTGACAATTGAAGATGTGGCTAAATTTATGTCATCGATTGTTTAAAATATTGTTCAAATTAGAGTGTGTTTGATAGAAATTTTTGGGAGAATAATTGATTTTTGAATAGTGATATGATGGGAAATATGTGATTGAAAAAGAAGAAAAAAGTATTGATGTGATAAAAAATATTATTTTATTGAAGAATGTGTGATTGAAAATGAAAATTGATTTACTGTAGAAAATGAAAATCTCTATCAAACATGTTGGAAGTGGGGACCACGAGCCGCATGTATATCACGTAAAATGACTACCGATAGTTCTCACTATGAATAGCATTACTCTTAAAATAATAAATTAAGATTAGTAACAATTATAAACAATAATTCAAAAGTTTTTAATAGGCGACAATATTTTTAAAAAAAATATCTAAATTTCTAAAGAAATAAGTAATTGATATAATTACGTATTTTAAAAAGTTAATAAAAAAATAAACATTACTTTTAAAAATTATCCTTAGAATTTTTTGTCGATAATTGATCAAGAAAATAAGTAGGTTTTAGAGTGTGTTTGAGACACATTCTTTTGAAAGAATGTATTATTGAATAGTACATTGATGGAAAATGTGTGATTAAAAATGAAGGAAAAAGTTATTGATATGATGAAAAATATTATTTTATTAAAAAATGTGTGGTTGAAAATCAGTAGAATAATAAGAATGAAAAAAAATAATGTATACCAAACAGAGCCTTATTTTGTGAAGGGTTGAAATTGAGATTCAATGATTCATGTTCATTAAGAATATTCTTTTAACAGATGGAATCTTGATCTGATTCTGAAATTAATTTGCATAAACATTTTGAATAACAAATAAAAATTTCAATTTTGTTATTTGTACACATTTGATAGATAATTTGGTACACAACCCTTTCATATGTGTGTGGGGCTCACAATGAGACCTTTATTATGGACCCCACAAACATGTGAGAGGGTCATCACACACATATGAGAAAGTTGTGTATCAAATATGTAAGTGTAGCATTTCTCTAAAAATATTACCATCGAAAATTGCGTGACATCAAGTTAGTTGAACAGTCTATTTGTCTTTTCGAGGCATGAATTTTTCTTAAATATTTTAATGTATATAAAACGTGATAATTTAAATTAAGATGTCGGCATCTTTATGCAGATGAAGTCGTGCTAAATTCGATGTATAATTGGTTGAAGCAATCATCCACTACGCCAACACTCACATGCTAATTATTTATTTAATATTAAATTTGATAGCTTCAAATCTTGATTAATTATCGTAAATCTACTTTTACTTATAAAAAGTTGCTTTATAACACAAAAAAAGCCATAATCTAAATCCATTTGGGCCACTAGAGACGTGGTGAAGAAATTGGACAATTAATCAAAATTATTTTAATTTATTAATGTTAAAATATTATTTTCCCTATTTTAAAATTGAATAAATTAAAGCTATAAGTTTGACTTTCGATCAAATAACAGATTTTTGGATAGAAATCGTTCCCTTGCATATGTATTGAAGGTTTGGGCTCATGCTGCACATTTTTGAACGATTTGAAGCCTTCGTCGTAAATTCCTCAAATCATTTTGCCACTTATAAACACTTAGATTTTTTGAACAAAAACCTTACAAAGGTCTTTCTACAGCCCATTTTCGAACGAATTAAGATGTATCTATTATCGTTTAAATGTTTGGGATCGCGCTTCACTTTCTTGAAAAACCTTGAAACTGAGTTTTTTTTATATGAATCTCAATGCACGAATCTCTGGAAATTCCAAACACTTGGATTAATCTTGATATTACAAGATTTTTTTTTTCCCTCTTGTTTTTCACTTCTCTCATTTTAAAACTAAATAATACAAGATTGTAATATCGTATTAATTGATGCTCGTGGACAACTTAACGTGTCACGTACGATGAAGCAACTCTATTTCTTTTTCTTAATACAATTAATGAAGTATTGACTGGTATTAATGGAGTATCTCTTTTTCTACAAGATCTAGGATTCAAATCACATTTTTATTGTTATTTGGCCAACAAAATTTTAAGGAATTTGATTTTACATTTTTCGTAAAAATGTGTGCCTCTAATGATTTGATTCGCACTATAGATAACATATGTCCAAATCTTATTTTATTTTTATATTATATGTTTAGGATGAATAAATAATAATAATAATCCATGTTGTACATGTGACTGCAAGTTGTCCATATTATAGTTTTGTCACACTTTGTTGTTGCCGATTTCCCCCGTTAAGGCCTAGGGGTGATTAAAAAAGTGTTATTTTATTATTATTATTATTATTATTATTATTATTATTATTATTATTATTATTATTATTATTATTATTATTATTGTGTCAGTGTTAAATATATAAATCCCCATTTTCATTGACATCTTGGTTCAAACTTTTTTGCTATTAAGTAAAACGTGCATCACTTTGCATTCATAACAAAGTAAGCTCATATTTTACAATCATTATTGGAACAAAAAAAAAAAAAAACCAATATTTTAGATTGTAATTTTTAGGAAATTGTGTGATTAAAAAGTAGGGGAAAATTTTAGTTTTACATGCAGGATATTTTATTATGTGAATGCGTGGTTAAAAATGAGTAAGTAAAAAAAAGGTTTTCAAATAATGATTGTCAAATCAGGGCTGAACATATAACCCATATTTGGTGGAGATTATAAAATAAGACCTTTGGTAGATTTCGATAAATGTTAATGAAACATGTGGTTGAAAATATGTGAATCTCATTAAATATGTGATTAAAATGCAACTATCAGTTAGTCGTTATGTACTTAACAATAACAATTCAAAGAATGTTGTCCTTGGGACCCCTAATTATAGGGCATTTAGATGGTGCAAGGTTTTCACTTTGCAACTTTGGAAGCTAAGCAAAGTCACGAAGTTGGTTGACTACGTCGAGCAAAGCTCATCATCTTGATGTGATGGTAAAACTCGTCATATAGTTTAAGAGCTAGCAAGACTGTCTTGGTGAGTGCTATAAGAATCAGTGGTTCGCTGCAACAAAGTGCTTTTGCTCATGTTGATATTTTGTTGTCGAAACGTTCAAGGGATTCATGCTTGACTGTCAAAATCATGTTGTGACACTGGAACAATCAATGCGACAACTCTATTTCGAACCTTTTTATTTCAATTTACCATGTTGTATCATGATTGTTTAGTAAAAGTTATCTATTTGTCATAATTTCATAATTACATATTAATCAAACACGACGCATAAATATTACGAATTTAAATTCTTTCTTAAGAGCATTAACACACGAACCATATAAGATAATTTGTGCTAACATAATTGCTCAATAATTTTGTGCAAAAAATTGCAACTTCTTTTCTTTCCAAGGAAGAAAAAAAAACATGTACATTTTGCGTTGGGCTAACAAATACTCGTACAATTCTTTTGAACTCAAATGTAATATTGCCACAGAAGTTAGTAGAAAAAAAAGAGAGAAAAACAAGAAAACTACAAAAACTACCGCTACGTTAAAATTCTGGCAATTCATTTAGCTCCCCTGATCTTGTAAACAAATCATACCAAAAATCATTGTCATCTTCCTTAATTGAATCGAAACTGTACGAGGTTTCGATTAGGTTTAGAGGGATTTGAACACTATTCGAAGCAGAAATATCACTTGTAAAACTCGATCCAGTTGAAAAAACCTCCGACCAGAAACTTTCATCCATTTCCGGCAGCTGGGTCATGGCGGCGGCGGTGGAGGACGACATTTCACTCGATGAATGCTGTGGCGAATTGGGTTCTGATTTTTTATCTGTGGTTGGATCAAATCTGGAACCATCAGCAGAAAACACCTCTGACCAGAAACTTTCATCCATTTCCGGCAAATTGGAGACGGTGACGGCGGCGGTGGCAGTCACAGAGGACGACATTTTACTCGATGAATGCAGTGGCGAATTGGGTTCTGATTTCTTATTCACACGTTTCTTCAAATGGGTGTGCCAAACATTTTTTATTTCATTATCAGTTCGTCCCGGTAATCTTGCTGCAATTACAGACCATCTGCAAAGATAACGTTAAACAACAATATTGTGAGATGCAAGATTTTTTATTTTATGTCACTAAATCTTGTAGCATCTCGACATGCCATAAAACAGTTTAGGGTTGCACCAAAACGAAAATGGAACAATCCCGAGAATGCTATCTAGCTAGTTTCAGTGATATTAAGCACTCGTCTACATAATTAGTCAAAATTGTAACTTATTTATGTTGACCAATTGTAGACGGTGAACTCTAGAGTGTGTTTGGTAGGAATTTTTGGGAAAAAAATTGATTTTTGAATAGTGATATGATGAGAAATGTGTGGTTGAAAAATAAGAAAAAAGTATTGATGTGATAAAAAATATTATTTTATTGAAAAATGTGTGATTGAAAATGAAAATTGATTTAATGTAGAAAATGAAAATCTCTACCAAACAGGCCCTTAATGTATAAAAAGTTATCTCCCATTAACGTGAAACTTTATGTCAAATTTGATGGATGAGCAACTTTCCCTAGGCAAGCTCAAACCTATTTGAAATAATAACACACATTTATCTCTCCCCTCAAAAAAGAACAAATCTCACACAGTTCATGCTTCATACACTGTTCATTTGTCCATTCACATCTCTCTCTCTCTCTTGCCTTTTCAGTTTCCTGTTTTCTTCTCTTTCTCTCTCTACATATCTTCTGTTTGTTATGATTCTTAACTATTTACCCCCTCACAATCCACTGGGAACATCTCATTGTGTTTTCTCCAATTCTCTGGCGACCTATAAATTATAGGTACATAAAGGGAAAATTATAGCCGGACTGAGAAATGTCGCCGGAGATGGATTTTCCGGCTGTTTATCAACATTTCTGGCATAGTATAACAAACCCATAATTTACATTTTCGTTTACAGAGATATAGAATCTTCAGTTCCTCGAAGAAAAATGACCGAGACGATATTATACATAAAGCCCACCTCGCTTGAAGAAAATGACGAGAAAAAGTCGGAGCAAGCAAAGCACGAGGAAAGGAAATTAGAGAGAGAAACAGAAAAATGCATAGATTTCATCCCCAATACTACAACCACCACTACGCCAAAATCAGTTATCATTATTCCAAGAAGCAAACCCCAAGCCGCCAGCCGAAGGGTCACCCATGAGACCACCAGAACAACATCGGGAAGCACTGTGTCTCCATCCTGTAGAGTAGCGCAAAGTATAATCGAAAAGCGCATCCAGAACGGAGATCTGTATACCGGAGTTTTGGTTAACAATACGCCACACGGACCCGGAAAGTACTTGTGGAAGGACGGATGCATGTATGAGGGGGACTGGAAAAGGGGTAAGGCCTCCGGGAAGGGTAAGTTTTCCTGGCCATCTGGGGCAACCTTTGAAGGTGAATTCAAATCGGGCCGGATGGAGGGGTTGGGCACTTATATAGGATCCGATGGAGATATGTATAAGGGGTCATGGTCTGCGGATCGGAAGCATGGGTATGGAGTGAAGCATTACAGCAATGGGGATTACTACGAGGGGCAGTGGAAGAAGAACTTGCAAGATGGGCAAGGGAGGTATCTGTGGAAGAATGGGAACGAGTATAAAGGGGAGTGGAAAAGTGGAATGATTCATGGGAGGGGTGTTTTGGTTTGGAACAATGGGAATAGGTTTGATGGAAATTGGGACAGTGGGATTCCAAAGGGCCATGGAGTTTTCACATGGCCTGATGGGAGTTGCTACATTGGCAGCTGGTCTAAAGACTCGAGTAAAAGCAGCAATGGTAATCAAGTCTTAAATGGTACTTTTTATCCTGCACATAACAAAAATGGGAACGAGGAGGAGTTTAAAGAGTATTTTAATCAATTGTCGCCATTGATGGTAATGGGGGACCAGACTATGAGTGTAGTAATAGGGGGTGCTGGGAAGAAAAGGTCGTCTGTGGATGGAGGATTGATGGAGAAGAGTTTTCCGAGGATATGTATTTGGGATTCAGATGGCGAAGATGGGGACATTACGTGTGATATTATCCACAATGTTGAGGCTTCCATGTTGTATAGGGATGGATTTGGCTTGGATTGCGATGGGATTTGGAAGCTTAGGAGGAACCCCTGTTGTTTTAGTGGGGAAGTGAAGAAGCCAGGGCAAATGATATCTCAGGGACATAAAAATTATGAACTGATGCTCAATCTCCAAGTGGGTATTAGGTAAGATAAATTAAATGTTTATTAGAATGGTTTTCTAAGATTAGTTTTTGCAAATATCTGAGGCTCAAGTTTTTGTTCTAATTCGTAGTTGGTCATTATTTTGCTTTAGGTATTCAATAGGGAAGCAAGCTTCGATATTACGGGATCTTAAGCCAGGCGATTTTGATCCTAATGAGAAGTTTTGGACTAGGTTTCCTCCAGAAGGATCAAAGATGACTCCACCCCACCAGTCTGTGGAGTTCCGGTGGAAGGATTATTGTCCTGTGGTCTTTAGGTATTGTTACTCTCTCTTTTTCTTTGGTAATTGAATGTATGAAAATTCCAATTTTCAATATTCTATTGTATAGATGCATTTGGTTAATAAGGATTATATTACAATAAGGGCTTTAGTATTGATTCCTTATTGGATTGGAATTCTAAATGATGATTTAATAACTGGGCTATCAGGCATTTGAGGGAGCTATTTCAAGTAGATCCTGCGGATTATATGCTGGCAATTTGTGGAAATGATGCTCTGAGAGAGTTTTCATCTCCTGGGAAGAGTGGAAGCTTCTTTTACTTAACCCAAGATGACCGATTTATGATTAAGACAGTAAAGAAATCTGAAGTCAAGGTTAGTTGCCTGTTTCATTGACTTGTAAACTTTAAGAAATTTTGATTAAGGATAATGACAACGTTAGTAGCAATCAAAATATTAGTTTTGCACCTTCTGTGAACTTTCTTGCTCCTCATGTGAGCTTTCTTGTTGAATCTAGAATTTTAGTTGGACTAAACTATGAACTGTGGTCAATTATGTTTGCAAATTAAAGTGTGGTAATTTATTTCTCCAGGTGCTTATTAAGATGCTTCCTAGTTACTATGAGCATGTCTACCGTTATGAAAATTCCCTTGTCACCAAGTTTTATGGAGTCCATTGTGTCAAACCAGTCGGTGGTGTCAAGGTATGTTGTCATTGTTGAACAATTCAATTCTACAATTGTGGTACAACTGCCTGCCATGTAACTAATATCTTGTTACCTTATTGAAAATCAGACGAGGTTCATTGTGATGGGAAATTTGTTCTGCTCAGAATATCGAATCCATAGAAGGTTTGATTTGAAAGGGTCGTCCCATGGCCGCACAACTGATAAGGCCAAGGGAGAGATTGATGAAACTACAACTCTTAAGGACCTTGACCTCAACTTTGTGTTTCGCATCCAAAGAAATTGGTACCAAGAATTAATCAAGTTAGTATGGGCTTCCTTCTTGTACTCTATGCTTATTCTGTTTTTGCATCCGGGCATCTTGTTAATTCGGTAAATTCGTAACAGACAAATTGATAGAGATTGTGAGTTTCTAGAGGCAGAGAGAATCATGGATTACAGTCTCCTAGTTGGCCTTCATTTTCGCGACGATAGCACTCGGGACAAGATGGGTTTATCCCCATTTGTAATGCGTACAGGTAATTTATCATGTAATCAAAAACAATTTCCTATGTGATATATTAATTTGTGTTCAGGAAGAATATCATGTGAATGGAATTGCTGTTTAGGAAAAAGAGATTCATATCAAAATGAGAAGTTCATGCGCGGCTGTCGTTTCCTTGAAGCAGAACTACAGGTCATGGATCGGATTCTAGCTGGACGGTATGCAATTATCTTCATTCATTTGTTCTATTTCTTTGGGCTATCTAGTAATGGTTTTTGTTGGAAATTATAATAATAAACTAGAGATACTGGTCATAAATCTTTATGATCTGATGCCTCTTTCATTAGTAAAACCCAATTATTTGCTTCTAATAAACTAATGAAAAACTGCATGCTTGTTAGAACCTTTGTTTTCTGATTCAGTGGGCGTAAAATCTATATCGTTCTCCCATTGAGTCAATGTGGTGGTTGAAGAAATTGGAAGGGAGCCTATATCTACTGGAACATTGTTGAGTTGTTTATTATGAGATTTGTTTGTGGGACAATATTGGAGAATGGTTTTATGTGTTGCCTTTCTGGATTCTGCGAGCTTCCGTTTTATCATTGTAGTATTTCTTCTTGTTAATTAAACACTCCAAAAGTTCTAATGTTTCAGATTTAAAATTTGTATTGCTGGAAACTAGTAATTACAATTAGATATCATCTGGGGTTGAAGCTATTTCCACATTTCCTGGATTTAAGAAAATGAGATTGAACATTGAGTTTCAAAGTTTGGTGTCTTTCCATCAGATAATACTCGGAAGTAGATTAACCTTATAAGTTATATTCATGGTGTCATTGATTGTAGTATTTCTTTGTCATGTATTGTTTGGATGAATTCCACTTAGTTTGGTGGATCTTTACGGTTCTTTATCAGGAAACCACTGATCAGATTGGGGGCCAACATGCCTGCACGAGCAGAGCGAGTGGCTCGAAGGAGTGACTTTGATCAGTATGGAATTAGCAATTCGGCCCCTTCCCGCAGGGGTGAAATCTATGAAGTAGTCCTCTACTTTGGGATCATCGACATTTTGCAAGACTATGATATCAGCAAGAAACTCGAGCGTGCCTATAAATCTTTGCAGGTTGATCCAATCTCAATCTCTGCAGTCGATCCAAAGCTATATTCCAAAAGGTTTAGAGATTTTGTGGGCAGAATCTTTGTAGCAGAAAGGTGAATAAACTGAGAAGATTCTTATTTGAATCTTGAACCCTGGAATATTAGAGCTATAGCACGCCCGAAACTAGATGCCATTCTCAGGAAAACACATTTTTTGGGCTTACTAAATTGCCAGCTAGCATGATCGGGATTTTTTCAGTATGGGGTTATCTTGTGCTTTTTGAAGATGGCTGAATTTTGTGGATCAGTCATTGAAGTTTGTATATCCAGCGTGGGAGGAACATTGGTTTTAGGGTTCTTTCTTTTGGTAGTAATTTTTTGTGGTTACCAAGGAATGCCAAGATCTGAAAGATATGTATAGGGAAAAGATTAAGTATTTCCCTGAGAGAAGATTCAGCGCTATGGGAGTTGGGCTTTGAATAATGAAATGTACAGCTTACAGAATGTTGTACAGGTAATGAAATTCTTTTTGTTGAGATTTTCCAAACATCTTGATTATTTATGACGCATTAGATAGTACTGAATATATTAATAAGAAAAATTACAATTTTATTCATTGTACCATCAGTCTCTTCGATCTCTTTGGTATGTAGCATTGCAACTTTGTCCCTCTCTCTTTATATATTAGCCATTTGCTTTTCTTTTGGTTACAGTAAAAGAGAGTTAAACCACATGAAAAGGAGAGAAAGTGAGATAAAGATGTGTTGGTGTTTCTTGTTCTTGCCCACTGACCACCTCTTCTTTCTACCTTATCAGATAATTTCAAATTGACTTAAAGTAGGGCTTATTTTTTCTTCTTTTTGAAGAAAAATCCTGTCAGTCTGTAAAGAATGTATGCCAAATGGAACTCAAAATTCTATGTGCACAAACACAATAGTGTAAATATTGGATTGTAGTTTGATTTAAAGTAAAATAATAGTCATTTTGATGACATTGGGATTCCTTTTTTAGAGGGTCAAATTCTACTTTTTGACCTTTCTTCTTTTTAAT